TGTTTGACATTGTCCGGTGCTGTGTATTATATACATAGTTATATAACACTTTTACTCGTGGTTTAAACATGATTTTGAGAGAACACTTAGACTTTTTTTATTGTAGGAGGGGGTGGTCACATTCTGTAGGAGATGTGGGAGAAAATAGACATGAAGGAGCCTATGGTCTAGCAGGCTTTGGATTCCAGTAGGACAGACGAATTATATTAAAAGCTCTGTTTTTTTGTCAGTATTTTATTTTCTGCCAGGAATGTGTGAGACATTTTCCCACCTTGTTCAGTTCGTTGCAGTTTGTTAGCATGTTGAATGTTCATGTATGTAACGTGTTTGGGGGTTGTGCTGCCACCCATCCCAAACTGAAGAATAAAATGCTGTGTCCCATTGTAATCCAATATAGAAAGGGTTCTGCATGTATTTTCATATCCAGGCTGTAATTTGGACCTAGATGCAAACAGGCATTCATCTCGCTAAGTTGCTAGCATAGTACATGATGAAGTTTGAAGGTTGCTGGTTTGAATCCCAGGAGTCTTTTTGTAACTCCTCTTGAACAAGGCATTTGACCTAAGTTGTGCGAAACAGATTTGCTTTTGATTAAATCGTTAGTTATGTGGATACACATGGTGACTTGTCTTTACAATAATGACTGGAGCTCAGTGATGCCTGTGACCCACTGACATTTAGCAAAGGGTGTTGAACTGTGGGAACCACTCATTCTGGAGGTTTTCACTGCAAAATTGTTCCCAACCCCTCACTGTAACAATAACAGTATTGTCTATTTATCCCATCAATGACGTGTGACCAAATATATATATGAAAACTGTGGCTTTTCTGGTTGTCCTGCGCAGGAAGTTTGAGGCCAGGGGAGTGGCTTTGCTTTGACATTGTCACTAGAATGAACAAAGTCAAAAGTGGAGTGGAATCAGTAATGGGAATTGCACAAGCTTACGGGGGACTGTTTACACGGTCACAGTCACATGGTCATGGTCGCATGGTCACAGTCGCATGGTTGAAGGTGGCCCCGTTCAGGTGACCTCCACGCCATATGTCCTACAGAGGCGCAGAGTGCTGAAATTGGACGGGAGCAGAGACCCCCGCTGTCCCCAGCATGCCTCCAAAGTCCTTTGCCAAAAGTCGTCTATTTATACCGTTCCATATTTAAAGGAGAATGGCGATGAAACCTCTGAGGATTGTCCAGACTGGAACTGCAAGGAAAAAAAGAGAGAAATCAGAGAGCGGTGCCAAACTCAAGTGCCCCCACAGCAAATTTGGGGCATGTGATAAGCAGTGGTTGAAACGGGTTACATGAACGAGGCATCCCGACGCTCCCGGCGTTCGTCTGCGGGGGCTGTGCTGAGTCTGATTGTTCTTTAAGGAAATGTTTTCTGGGAGAAAAAAAAAACACGGTTCTACCGGCATGATGTTTAAAGACATCAGCTGGGTTGTGATTATGTCCAGCCGGTATCAAATCAACCACATTACAAGCTGGTATGTAGCCAAGACCAGTTAAAACAACAAAAGTTTTAACTTATTTTCAATTAATGCCCAGCAGGAATTGTTCAAATTTGCTCTCGCATTATATATTAATCATATCTATTTTTACAGTATCCAGAGACTCCAGCACATTTCCCTGCATGCCATTAGACAATTTTTTTTCCTGTGGTCTGAGGTTAATTACATTTACACTGCAGTTATTCACAAAGATACAGAAACAAAGGAAAAGGTCAAAAATAAAACCCATTCATCCATAACTGCTTCTCCAGTTGAGTGTGCCATGGATCCTGGAGCCTATCCAGTCAGAGGTGGAAATCGAACCCCCAGCACGGAAGGTGTCAGACTACAGTCTTAACGTGACTGACATTATTCTCAAATTTGGTTTATAATCACATATTTCTGGCGACTCATACATTATGCACCTCACATTCAATCCGCTGGATGTTTGCTGAAGCTGTTTGGGTTTAGTCCCTATGTTAGCATGTAAAAATAATGCATTCAAATGGCCCCCAAGGGGCTGTGCAGAACTCCATCTCTGCCCAGGAAAACACAGTGGTGGGGAGCAGACGGCCAGCGTCCGCTCCCTTTGAGGAGTGATGAAATAGCCGTAGTGTCTGTGGATGATTTAAGGCCCAGACAGAGAAAAAAGAATGGTCAGGTTGGGAAAAGGACACCTGTATGGACAAGGATGGAACGTGGAGTGGAGGAGGGGTCGGGAACGGAGATGGTGATACGTCCATTATCCAAAAAATACAGTGAGGAATTCTGTGAATCGCTGGGTTCTCGTGGAAAACCCCTTAGAAGCAGCCAGGCTTGCGGCCTCCTCTGCACACGCTGCTTTCTCAAAGCTTTTTTTTTTTTTTGGCTTTAGTTTCGGTCCAGCTGCGTGCAGGAGCCTCTCAAGCTGAGCTAACTCCGTGGCAGAAGCTTGGTCAAGACAGACATTAGCCGGGATCCTGCCTGCCACAAGGTGGCGCCGGACCGGCGAGGTAGGCGGCCCCACGACTGCGGTGATGAAAGCTTTCAGGGGATCTACAGGGCTGACTCAGAAATAAAAATGCACAACAAGAACAACAATAATGATGCCAGTAATAATGAGTAACTTTGTTGCCGCTGTGCATTAAAATCGTGAGTTTTTCACAGATATTTGTCTGTTTTCCTGTGCAATGTGCCTTATGTTTGCCTGAGTGCGTCACTCCGTGAATCAATCCAGACCCTGACCCTCATAACAAATGTTCTGGTTTTTGTTTTTCATTCACTAATGATGCTTGAAGGTTACACTTTGAAGAAAAGGTTCTTCCAGTTCTGGAGAGCCTTCTGCTGCGTTTTTGACTGCGGTTCTCGGCTTCCCCGGAACCTCGCTCCACATCACAACCGTATCACCTGAACCTCCGTAGATCATCTGGCTTAGTTCTGGAATATTCTGTTCCTTCTCCTACACTTCGGAGACTCTGTTTCGCTGTGACAGAGTGCGGAAACTATTTTCAGGGCCTGATATGTTTAAAGCCAGGCCTTTCTTAAAATTTGTTAGCAAATAGCTGAGGGAGAGATGTTTAATTGCGGAGACAGTGTTCTGCTGAATGCGCACAATAGCTAGGAATGCAGAAAAAAACACGTTCTGATCGGAAAAAAATAGAAGTCACAGGAAATTTTTCATAACAGGATTTTTTTTGTCTCATTTGTCTTTTGTTCTAATTGTTCCAATAAGTAGTACCATCACCTCACACCTGCCAGATTGAGACCTTAAATTCTGCACGCACTCTGTGTGTGTGTACGTGGGTATACCTTACCTTATGGGGACACAATGTCCCCACAACGTGATGAATACCCGTTTTTTTCCCAGTTTCCTGGTCCCCATAAGGGAAAACTCAATTTAATAAAAATCCGTGACTGCAATGAAAAAACTAAAAATGCGAAAACTCTTGTATTTTGTTTGGTTACTTATGGTTATGGTTAAGGGTGGGTAGGGGTTAAGGTTGTCATAGTTAACGTTAGCATTTTTCCCGTAGAAATGAACGAGTGGTTCCCATAAATGTATTTTCACCCAACATGCGTGTGTGTGTGTGTGTGTGTGTGTGTGTGGAGTTTGCATTATCTCCCCGTTCCCCTCCTTGGTATCTCTAAATGGCCTATGATGTGTCCCCTAGTATGTCCCCGCCCCGAGCCCTCACTGGCTTGGAAATGCTTTAGGCCTCCAGTGATGGATGACTGACTAGAAAATGGAAACAGTGAAACGCTCTAATCAACCAAGAATGTCGTCCTGCATGTTTAAAGTATTGTTTGCAATTTTTAAATATTAAATCATAATGTAAAAAAGGGAAACGCACTCAGGCATGTTTAAACACAGAGCAGAGCGACGAGGAATGCTTGGGTGCAGCTAGTGTGAGCGTGGACTGTGAATGTGCAATATCCACATCTCCATGCTGGGTCTGAGCACAGAGCGGGATCGTGCCCTTGTGATGTGCCCTGAAGCTCATCCCAGCGCAACGAGGAAAGGTACTGGGACCAGGTGGAGATGTCCCTGAGGAGGGGGGAGGGGGTGGGCGACAATGGGGGCATGCCAACCAACTGGGCCTTGTGTTCACCCGCTATTCATCCAACACACAGAACCTGTCTCAGTTAAGTAGTTTGAGGTTATGGGGTTTAAAGATTGATTTAACACATACCAACAGTTTTAAAGGTTAAAAGAACATAGTTGACATTTATTATATTTTATTTCTTTTTTTCCCCTGCAGAGG